TGGGCCCCTTCTTGCCCCGAGGGCAGGGAGGTGGTCCCTCCGGGCCGCAGCCTCCTGGGATTGGGGTTCCCTGCGGGATGCTCAGCATCCCCCGTGGGTGATGGGGTCCGTGCTGCACCCCCAGTGGGCAGGGACAGGGTTCCCCTGTGGGCCAGGCCCTCATCCTAGCAAGGGCCATCCAGGGCGTGTGCTTGGTTCCAGAGGGCTTGATGCTGGGGTTCCTTCTCGAGCCTCGGGATGTGGGGTGAATCCGGGGCTGGGACTTGCCAGCTGTGGGGCGGTTTCTTCCCAGTGTGCTCAGGCTGGGTTCCCTGTGTTGGATGGACCCCCAGCTCCTTGTCTCCGTGCCCGCAACAAGGGCAGTGTGAGAGGCATCCAGGTGGAGCTGAGGAGCAATGACAGCCGTGTCACCGTCCCCACAGGCAGGAGAGCCCTTTGGGGTGCAAAACGGGAGGCATTTCCTTTGGGGACATCGTGGTCCCAGGCCCTGCAGGTGCTAATCCTGCTGTCTTGCCTCCAGTCTGTGGGGGCTTTGGTAGGTAGTGGGGGCTCAGGGGCTGCGTTCCACATGGACATAGGGATGCTGCTGCCACAGTACTCTGGCTCCTTCCCCTAACCCAGGCCCGCACGGCCTCCTTACTCTGGCTATGCAGCATGGGTGTCACCTCTCCGCACGCAGGGCCGCAGATGCAGACCTGGGCCTGGAGAGGTGTTGAGAGCTGTGGTGATAAGTGCAGCCAGCCGGGCTGGAGCTGAGTGTAGTCAGAGCTGCACCATGGGGCTGAGCACTGTGGGGATGGCGCTTGCCTGAGCTGCACTGTGACTCTGCGGCTGCCTGTGCCTGCAGATAGCTGGATGGTAAAAACCCGGTGGTCATCGCTGGGGATTGTTCAGGGCCTGGAGTTTGCCTCCTTCAAAGCCTCTTTTCTCCCACCAGCAGTGGCCCTGGTGTGCAGCTCTGGGTGTTCTCTGGGGCTGAGGGGGAGGCAGGGATGGTGGAGCACACTGCAGTGTTTCTGTGAGCTCTGTCCCTGGCAGGCTTGCATTCCTGTTGCAGTCCTGCACTGCTGGACACTTGGCCGACAGAGTCTGGGTCATCTCTGTGGCCACTGGCAGCCTCTGCCTGGCCAGTTGTGGGTTGGAGGTGGTCAGGTTGTCTCTCTACTGTCAGAGCACCTGCCTGTGTCCAGCCTCCTGCCTGGAACACTTTCCCTGAGCTTCAGATAAGATAAAATACCAGTGAAAACACCATAAAAACATAAATGCCTGCAGAAGCTTGTCTGGGGGAGAGAGAGGTGCTGGCTGAATCCCACCAAGGACAGGAGACCGCGGGGCCTCGCCCACGTATGAGGAGCTGTTGTGGACGGCCGTGCTGGGCTGGAAACAGCCACATACGCCAAGGCTGACTTGTTTCTTTTTCCATGAACACCAGCCCCCCTGGGACCACCTGCAGCTGCCATTGTCTTTCTCTTACCCTTTTTCCATAGCTGGTTTGCAGAACGGAGGAGCCACTGTCAACGGAGATGTCTTTCAGGTGAGAGCTCAGCCTCTTGCCCTGGCACAGTGCTACTAAGCGGGACTGGGTGGGTATGGGGTCAGCATTCTGCTGCTCTGCTCCCAGGATTGACTGGAGTTTGCTCTCCAGCTCCAGAACAGCTATGGTGTTCCTGGAAAGGCCTGGGTCTCGGGGCAGGGGGAAGTCCTGGCTGCTCCATTCTCATCCCTCTTTGAAGAGGTTTGGTCCTGCCTGCCATGACCTGCCCCAAATCTGTTTGCAGGTGGCCCGTGCCTTGAGAGCGTACCTGGGCGCTAAGAGCAGATGACAAACCCTCCATTCCCCAGAGAAGCCCTCTCTACAGCCTGGGTAGCTCCTGGAGGCCTCTGAGGTGCTCAGGAGCATCTCCTGGCAGAGGCCAGAGCCAGGACAGGGCTGCCATGGGACACATGCTTTGCTGTGGCCTTGCTGCCAAGCCCTGGCAGCATCTCCCTTTAAACCCGCTCACCCATGGCCAAGGGTGTTTGGTGGGCTGGACACGCCTGGGTCTCGGCTCCTGCTGTGAGCCCAAAGCCTGGCTCTGCTGCGGGAGAAGCTGTGCCAGCAGCTGAGACGCTCCTGACCCCACTCCGAGCCCGGTAGCGTGGCACGTGCATCGCCTGTTCCTGGTTTACAGGGTGATAATCACGTTAGGAATGAGGCAGACTTAATTGGATTTGGGATCTTGGAGGAGAGCCGTAATCCCATTGCTGAGCTCGGTGTGGAGCTGGGAAAGTGTTAGGAGAGGTGCTGAGCCAGCATGGTGCTGGGCCTGGTGGGAGCTGTACCGGCAGCTCGGCTCGGAGGAGCGGGGGAGGCTCTCGCTGCGGGCTGGCATCCAGGCAGAGAGCGGCCCCGGCCTCTCGCCTCGGCTGCCACCGGCTGTTGCGGCCAAGCTTGCGGTCACGCTCGGGCCTGGGGCTGCTGGTGGGGAGCATGTCACACAGCTGGTGGCTGTCCCACTGCTGTGGAGCAGTCACCGAGGGGAACACTGCGAAGTCTTGCTGGGTGGCTGGGCCTGGGAGCTGGGACAGCAGCTTGAGTAGCGCCCTGGGGACACTGTCCCACGTGTCCTGGGCTGTCACCCTCTCGACATCCTATCCTGGCTTGTCTGAGTGCTGGGAGCGTGGAGTCCTGCGCTGCCGGCAGCCCTTTGGGGGGGCTGGGCTGTGGGAAGAGCTGGTGCTGATGCTGAGGTGCTGGTGCCCTGCAGGAGTCCAACGGCCCCACAGATGCCTACGCAGCCATAGCCAAGGCTGACCGTCTGACCCAGGAACCTGAGAGCATCCGCAAGTGGAGGGAGGAGCAGAAGAAGCGTCTGGAGGAGCTGGGTGAGACCCACGGCCGTGTGTGGCCACGCTCGTGGCACCTCACAGCATGGCAGCTGGGGCCCTTGGGGACCCTCATCTGGCAGTGACCCTGCTGCAGGCCAGAGAGATGCCTCGTGCCCCACAGCCTGTGGGTGCCCTTGCTTTGGCAGGGGATCTGCTGTCCTTGGGGCAGTACTGGTGGGGACTTGGGGACAGGCTGGGGGGGCCTGCAGCTGTCCTGCCTGCCGAGGGGCTGCCCAGCAGACCCAGCGGGGGCCGGTCTGGCTGATGGGGTCTGTCTCGCTCTGGGCTTAGACGCA